CTAACACTTCTAGGTCCCAAATCCGTGTTATACAAGACTTTACTGAGAGCACTTTGGGCATATGGAGTGAATCTGAGCGATTTTTCCAACATCCACTTCCATGCACCAATCTTTCTAATCAAGTCCTCAGACAAATCGTGAAAGCTATTTACTATGTAGTTAACGTCACTATCCACACGACCTACATTCGTTTTGTAAAAAAATTGATACATTCCCGATTCCGAAAGTTTCGCATCTACCTCTCCATCCATCCCAACCCTACTGCTCAAGCCCTCTCCACCTCTTACCATCCAGAGAACCCGCCACGTCGCCTTAATCGACGATGGCCTCGAGATATCCTTGCCCTACCTTAAGTGCCAGCATTAACTGGGTTTTTATGGCATATGTCCTTCGTGCAGCGCTGGTAGTACTATTAATCCTGTGATATGTGCAAAAAAGTATTGTGATCACAATTATAATATGTTTAAATATGTATAGGTTACAAATAAATTATACAAAAAAAGTGTACTCGGTGTTACTGCTCAATATGTAGTTTATAAACTTAAACGAGCAAAACAATCAACAGTTGACATACCGTTTGACTCGACCATTATAAAATAACGTCAAACACTGTGCCTATAAGCATGAAATATGAAGCATGAAATCTGAAGCAAAATTTAGGGCAACTATAATACCAGAAATGCACGTAGAGGACAGATGACTAGCTTCGGCCAGAGTTCAAATTTGATTGCTCTAGTCGCACGTGCTAGGTGAACTTTTGATAAAAAGAAAGAAATTAAATTAAGAGAAATGGATCTGAAAATGATACCGGACGGTAAAATATCTAGATAATTGCCGAGTACAATGGTGCATCAGATGCCCGTTTCTTCGGGTTCGGAGTATTTCCGACGTAGGCGGAAAGCCAACTCGTGGAGAAGACTGTCAAGGTGCTGGAAAGCGTCCTTCTCTGGCTTTTTCGGTTTCCAAACAGCTTTTCCGGACACAAAGGTCGAAACTCGGAAGAGTTTAGAAACCGAGCGGCGTATCTATCTACATAACATCCGTCCCATTTGCGCAAATGCCTCCGTACGATTTGTCAACCCTGGTCAGGAGATTTTATACGAATATTAGTATAATATGTGCTCCCGAGCGTAATATATAACAGATCAAAGCTTTATTTATAACAGAGATAAAGCGAGTTTCGTTTTCTGTGAATGTAATAAAAATTATGAAAGTTTATTTACTAAACATTGAATTACAAGTGGTAAAAGATTATGTAGTTTTAATGACTATCTGTCCCAGGTAAAATAACATAAATTGGAACTAAACAATCTATCTATTGATTTCTATGTATTTATCATTTACATGATACATAACTAATTTTAGTTTTTACCTACTTTATTTAGTTGAAACACATATCGTGGATCCCAATAGTGGATTTTTTAAATTATTGGAAGGGCCGGCAAAACCAAAAAATTAGAATTTTTTTTCGTTTTATTTAAAATTAAAAATTGTAGAATTAAGTATGTGACAAGCAAACGTAACGTTGATAAAGACTAATTGACTTGTATTTTCTCACTCAGTAGTGACACTCCGAGGTAGGTGGACCTAAGGTAAACAAACACTTGTGACTTGCTATCATCATACATCACTCGAGTTAAGTCGGGAACACACCGGATGCAACGCTATGCGACGCTACCCGATGCTACCCGACGCCTTGTCACGTTTTGGTAGGGTGTGTACATCTATGCGACGTCAAGCGCACGCCACGTACAGTCACCCAGCGTGTATCACAATAATCATAATCACAATCGCAACACCTCTTTTGTTCTTAATGCATTATTTTGAGCAAAACATGAAATAAATTGTTAGTTAAATTTTATGAGCACAACCATGTAATAAATTGTTACACTTATTGTTCTAAATAAAGTTATTCCGGTGTTCTGATAAATTTTTTTCTTAACCATCATAATTAAATAATTTTTATAAAAACCCATGCATTTTTGATCTCGTTTAATTTGGTTTACATTAAAATAGGAATGTTGTAATTAATATAATGACGAAATTGCATATGCTTAGTTTGAAATAAACTACAAAACATATGAGCGTCCTGTTCTGTCGCTACTCGATGAAAATAGTGTAATTTTATGAGCAAAACCATGAAATAAATTGTTAGTTAAATTTTATGAGCAAATCTGTGTAATAAATTGTTAGTTAAATTCATTATATCAAAAAATGGTATTCCGGTGTTATGATCAATTTTATACCAAATCAATAAAACGAATTTAAAAAAATAAATAAAACTAATGAATTTTTGATCTAGGTTAATTTGGTTTATATTTTATATTAAAATAAGTATGTTTAAGTAATTAATAAATTAAGTAATTAACATTAAAATAAGTAATTAATATAACGACAATAATACATGTAGTTTGAATAAAAGTATGAGTGTCCGGTCCTTTTGTTTTCGACTGAACTCGATGCTACCCGACGAAATCTGGACTGTGGGGATCGCAGAGCATAGAGTAGGGTAGCGTTACGTGGCATCGGGCAGATGTGCATAGGGGTAATACATTCTTATGGTAAATTGTACTTTGGATTTGCGTCGGGTAGCGTCGCATAGCGTGGCATCGGGTAATGTGTTCTCGGCTTTAAGATTTCGAGGCCCTCGAGTTGGTTTAGGAGATGCCCCGGCTGAACACCGGTGATCGGTTGGGGGTTTTGGAGTTTGAAGAAGAATGGGTCCCTTACGGTTTACCAATGCTGGACAAAGATGTTGCAGTTTCCCGTGCATTTTGTCAATATCTAAGCAATATTTCTCTGCTGTGATAGTGTCACCATAATTCAGGAAATTATAGTGAACAACCCCATCCGTACACCACCAAACAGTCACCATGAGCTTTTTTGGCTGAAGATTTGGTTTCGGGAAGAGTTTTGGCACTTCATCCTTGTCTAACCTGTACGCCTCCTGTTATAGTATAGAATCCATTTCACATCGCACGTGATGATTCGGGCGAGAAATGGATCATTTTGGTCGGGCAACAGAAGAGACGTGCAAACTCTGCGTCGATTTCTTTGGGCTTCGGTTAGTTGGTGCGGTACCCACTTTTTACTTTACCAATTTGCTCCAGATGGCGAACAACGGTTGAGTAGTCAACACTAAGCTCTTCCGCAATTTCCCGTGTTGTCTTATGTGATTTTTCTTCAATCGACGTTTCGATTTGGTCGCCGTCCAAAACGGAAGGCCTAGCGCGACCTTCCCTGCCTTCGAGATCGAAATCTCCAAGACGAAATCTCTGAAACCATCGGTGCACCATGCATTCGCTAATGTTTCCCTCCCCTCAAACTGTATTGCTGTTATGCGAGCTTTGGGCCGCACTTCGCTCAAGTTTAAATTCGTACAAATAAATTTGAGTAAAATCTAGTTTGGACATATTTAATGTCGCAGGTCCTCACTCTTATGAAATTCAACATAAACTAAAATTTTATTAGGTTTTGTGGTCCCTTGACCAAATAAATTCTTTTTCCATTAATTAAGGTGTTGGTTGAGATAAAAAAAGCCAGTGTCACGAGCGGGATTTGAACCCACGACCTTCGGCTAAATACGCCGCTGCTCTACCACTTGAGCAATCGTGACTTCGATCCCCTCGGACACCAACTTCCCACTTCAATCCACCCCTCGAATTGAATTGGTCTAGGAGACGTGGACTTTTCCATGGATATTTCTATGTAAATGGTATTTATCCAGGTCTCCGTAGAGACCACCGTGCGAAAAGTAATTGCATAAATTGAATTTATATAAGAAAGGATCAGCCCGCTTTTTACGCCGGCTTGTCCGTTGCTGCCGGCTTCTGTATGGGTTCGAGAATTGAAAAAGACTGTGTGCCTATAATCAATTAATCAATTAGCAACGTATTGAGAATCCAATTCAGTTTTCGAATTTTTGAAGAATGAAACCTGCCGATTTTGAAAAACATGCTTGTAAAATTTGTCCTCTTATTTCAAAGTGAGATACCAAATTCAGAAAAGCTATTAGTGTAACAGAACAACTTGCTCTAAAGGTACATTTACATCTGAAAGTTATTGCAGGATATCAGACAGAAATCGTAGCTGATGTAAACAGTGAATAAGTTATGTCAGAGATATATATTTCAACTACTAGTTATTTGTGTCGACACTTCTATATCAATAGGTGTAAACACCGGTTAGATGCAAGTTCAACCAGTTCGACACATGTCGCAAAAGTTGGCCATTCGTTTACTTTTCTATCATTGCAATAAGTGTCGCGTAAACTTGAGAGACAAAGAAGAGTGGTTTAAATCTAAAAAAAATTAAAATTGCAATTTTTATTTAATAATAGTACCTACTTACCAGATACTATAAATCTCAAAGCTACAGCAAGTCGGTTTTTACACTAGTTTATCTGGATTTGGTATCTCTGGGATGCAAGGGGACCAATTTTACAAAAAATGTTTTTAAAATCAAAAGGTTCCATTCTTCAAAACTCTAAAATTTAATATTACAATTTTTATTTAATACTAGTACCTTACTTACCAGATGCTAAAAATCGCAAAGTTAAGGTACGTTTAAATCTGATACTGTTGTGCGGAAATATACGTCGAGTGTCACATAAAATCGCTATATCTGTTTACATACTGTTAGAAATTTATGTCTTGGATATGTATACGACAGTAACTTAGCACTCACCCCAGCGTACTCGATATTCCTTAGGTCGGGGTTATGCTATTTTTTTTAAATATAGAATTCCTAGCTATTCTATTGATGAAGGATCGAAGAGAGAGAAGCTTCAGCTAATTCAGATTGTTTCCAAAATTAAATAAATAAATAATGAAAATTCTTTTTTAAAGATTGCACCAAAATAGTCTCGACTGGACAGTCAGCCGTCACTGGTCACCGAGGCCGAATGCTGAACAGAAATCGGTGATAAAAGAAACCTTTTTGTTGATAATGAACTGATAAGAGATAAGGCTTTTTTTCATTTTAAAAAGAAAAGTGTAAGTTAAAAATATTAAAAATTCTCCTGTGCATTGTCCATGTCTTTTTCTATCGTCCGAATAGATTTCATATTCTGTGAATTAGCGTTTTTTGTTAAAATAGTTAAATTCGTTTAAGTTAAGCCGTCATGTGAATGGTTCGTTTTGATTGTAAAATGAAATTCAGCTGATGGATTAACAAATTTAAAAACATTAATGTTAAAGTAAATTAATCGCAAATCTATCTTCGGCCTCTATGTCTCCGCCACACGGTTAAATTAAACTCCAAATGAAAATTAAAACAAAAATGACAAAATTCTAGCTGCTTGATCAGAACAACAATGAAATCTATTCGGTCATCGCTTTGGTGCAGCTCACAGCTGAACTTAAAGCACATAAAAAATGACATATGCAAGTCCTTCGCCTTCCAAGTGTGCAGGGGGACTCACGGGAAGAAGACATCCTCCAAGGTAAGCGGTAGTTCTCATAGCTGTACAAAGTCCTTTTACCCTCCGAGGCTTCTTGTTCGCAAATTGAAAAAGAAGACACAGACAAAATTTGTGAAGCACATATCAACGCACACAGTCGGGCGGAAGCAAGAGTCGGGTGACATCACTCGAGAGCCGCCCAGACAGAATGATTCCGTTAAGAGCAAAATCGAACGAGCTCGCTCCAAGAACGGGATGAGCCAAGACGCCAGTTGTCACAGTATCCCCACATATTTGTTTTCCAATTTCTCACTCCCTACATTCTCGGATCTCGAAAACAGTTTCAGCATTTTCAGTAACAGTTCTGATTGGAAAACGGCAGAAGATAAGGATCTGAATGTCGAGATGTGCATGGATCTCGGGGTCGAGCCAATGGAGGTCTCAAACAATCATGATATGTCTTACAGAAAGTCTCTGCTCGATCTGATAAACAACAATGAGAAACCAGAGGAAAAAGAGGTGAAATCAAACTGTAGCCTGATAGAGCCACCGAGGAATCTCCAGGCGGAGGTAGATTATTGTATAGTCGAAGAGAAGCTACTAGGCTCGACTCCGTCCGATGTGATCTGGAAGAATAAGAATGTTTGCATTGGCCCGGCAGTCGGAACCGAACTCTATCCTCCGTCTGATGTGAAAATGACCATCGTATCGGCAGATCGTCCCAAACATTATTGGAACAGGGCTAGCAAGACGAGTCTAATGGATGAAGATGTTGAGAAAATCCAAGAGAAGAATATCCCGTTATTTACGTCTGAACCGGAAATATTGGAACTGAATCCTTGCCCTGGTAAGTTGGAAAATATATCGCTTTCCTCTGTTCCGGAAAATTCCGAATGCAAACCTTATGCAGAAAGAGAAGAGAGCATCTCGTTGATGACTCCCATTGTATTGGTGCCTTGTACGGTGAAAGAAGGGGATGTTACATTGGTTACGCCCAATTCAAAGATTAATGGAGTGACACCCGGTCAGATGAATTCAACGGAAAGCGAACCGAATATCGACCAAGAACAGTTCAACCCTACGAGTATAGTAAGCATAATGAATATGATCAAAGACACTGATCAAATGATCTGTAGTGACAGTAATAGTTTTGAAGATTTCTTGAAAAAAGGCCCCATAGAAAAGTTACCGGTCAGCTCGCCCGAACCTACGAATGTTTTGAATATTTTAAATTCTGTGGATAAGTCTGCCGTAATCATTCAAAACGACCGATATGTAACAAACCGCATTTTAGACACTCTAAAAGACAAAGGCAATGAGATGAACAAAGCTAAAGATAAACTAAAGACAACTAGTCGAGATTTTTTGAAATTCAGCTGTGGTATGAATGAAAAGTTAGATCGTTTGAAGGAAAATTATGAAAACTTTAAGAAGGAAACCAATGGGGTTGAACAAGAGCTAACTAAACTTGACAATTCATTAAATGATGATTTATTATTGTTAACAGACAAATATCACCTGCCACTTTTGAAAAAGGCAACAGAACAGGTGAAAGAAGGACTAGAGTCAAAAACCTTGTCCAACACAGATTTCACTCTCCTCGATAACAACACGGAAAAAAATCTGTTGCATTTGATTTCAAAAAGCAGTAAAAATAATATATTTAATGATAATGCCGAGCAAGAAAGTGAACAATTGGTTTTTGATAACAACGCTTTGGATGAGAATATGCTTTTGTTGAGGAATAATGAAAATGATCAAGTTTTGGCAGACACCAATAATGTACAGTTGAGCTGTCAAGGACTGAATTCTTTTTCATGTTCTCCCTCGCAAAAAATCACTATAAACCAGTCGAGGCAATCACATGACTCTGCAAAAAAGTCGCAAGAAGGAAAGTTGAATGTTGATGTGGCTACAAAAACTGTAATTTCAAGTTCGAGCAAAGCGAGCGGGAGTGAGATATCAATTGTCGAAGTTCAGAAGTTCACTGACAAACGGTTACCTTTTCCATTTAGTACAGAAACTGTTTTGCAGGTGTTCGGGACTAAGGAGAAGCTCACCGATGCTCTTTCTGTCATCGAGCAGTCCAAGGCAAAGGTCGCCGTTCTCAACAGCTCCGACGGGCACAAAAAAGGTAACCAGGTGTCTCCTGCCTTTCAAAACATGCTCACATCTATTAAATCTTTTGACGAAAAGAAAGTTTCCCCCATTCCCCTGATTATTCCTGTCGATGTTGTGAACTCCGTTAAACCGCTCGAAGTTCACCCCTTGTCTTCTGAACTGCTGATGAGGCAGGCCAAACACGCCGAACTGGTAAAGCTAGCTCGAAGTATAAGCGCAAGTAACAAGGCTATGAAAATTGCTTTCACCAATAAACCAAAGAGAATCGTTATTAGAAAGAATCAGAATAAAACGAAAAAAACAGTTCCGAAGGTTGATAACGAACGACGTCCGTTTAAAGAAAGCGTGGAAAAAGTAAAAATTATTGGCCCTAAGCAGATTGATCTTATTTTGGGTTTGTCTCCTAAAGAAAGTGTAGCCAAAAGGAAAAGCGCTTACTTTCAATCTACTGGGACGAAAAGGGTCGACCAACAGGTTAAAATGAACGATGAAAGAAATGTAACAGAAAGGATTAAAGATGTAGAGAAAAGCCAAAATCAGCCAGTTGAGCAATGGGTTGGTAGAAAAAACCATGTGACCTCCAAACCAGTGATGGAAATAAAACCTACGATTTCCACTACACCAAAGAAAATAGTCGACGCCAAAATGAAGGCACTGGTAACTTTAAAAGCAGAAGAAGAAGATGGCCTTTCACTAAGAGATAGGACCATCTTGAAAGATATTCTAGACGGAAAATATGGATACCAAAATGCTTTAAGCAATAAATTGAGCAGAGAGAGTATTTCCACAAGCAGTAATGTTAAAAAAGGCAGTTCGAGTGGCAAAGGTAACGGAGATGAACCTACCGATGATGCGAAAATGTCAAAGATGTTGATAGAGAAGATTAAAAACGATTCTTGTGGCCCAATTCTTGGCAATCGGGAAGCTATAAGAGATTGTGAAACAAAAACTGTTGAATCTGTCAGATCTAAATCTCCTACTAATAATAATAATTTAACTCCACAGAATCATGAAATGGGCAACTTGAAAACATCAGATTTAAATAAGAAAGCAAAACAAAATGTTAAAAATGAACCCACTCTTAACAAAGCTAAACCCATTATTCAAAAAGTTGCAGCTAACATTATGACAAATCTGAAAAAACAAAGTAGTACTTCTAATATGGCCATCAAGCATGTAAATGATGTTAAAGACAGGCAAAAAATTGCAGTTATTAATCCCTATGGCAAGCAACCGTCCAAACAAGAAGTCATTGTGAAACCGGGAGTAGGTGTGATGGGGGCACAGTTATCAAAACCAGAACTGATTCCGATTGCTCAAACGAATTCTGGCGATGGTATGAAAGCACATGAATTATCCAAGATGAAAGAAACAGTTAAACCGGGGGTCAAGCAATTTGTTGAGTCGACACTCCAAAGTGATGCTCCGTCACCCAAAAAGGAATTCCTCTACAAGAGTTCTGGTAATGTTAAGGTGAGTGTTTTCATCCCCAATTCCAGTAGACCGGATCTTATTAAAAATAGTGCTAAAGTTGAAAAAAAAGTACCCAAAGAAGAAGCCAAGATATTGGCAAATAAAACTGCAGAAAATCCTCCCTTAAAATACAACAAGGTTCTCTTCGTAAAGCCAAATTCAGTCGCAAAAGAACGGGTGGAAAATCAAGATTTGTCCGAAGGACAGGTCACTCATGACAAAAAATTACGCCCATACAATTACGCACAGATTTATAATCCTGAGGTAGTCAAACCTCAACCGGCAGCAAAAACAGTTGCACATGAGGTTAGTAATCCTGAGGAAGTCAAACCTCAAACAGCAGCAAAAACAGTTGCACATGCGGTTAGTAATCCTGAGGTAGTCAAACCTCAACCAGCAGCAAAAACAGTTGCACATGAGGTTAGTAATCCTGAGGTAGTCAAACCTCAACCGGCAGCAAAAACAGTAGTACCTGAGATTAATAATTCTGAGGTAGTCAAACCTCAACCGGCAGCAAAAACAGTTGCTCCTGAGGTTAGTAATCCTGAGGTAGTCAAACCTCAACTGGCAGCACAAACAGCTGCACCTAATCAGTTGAAAAAGCCACAAACGGCCCCGACAGATGACAATCAGTCTTTTCCATCTAAGCTGGGTGTGTCCCTGAAAAATTTAAAGGATGAGATAGTGGCGAAAAATGAAGGTAAGAGAATACCCATGAAACACTCACTCTTATCGAAACTACCCCAGATAAAGCCACTTACGTCAGTCAGTGATATGAAAAAACAGGCGTTATTAAAAGCACAGGCTACTACTCATACTATTAAGGAAAAGGAAATAGAAAGGAATGATGGCGAGATGGCTGCAAGTCATGCCGCTAAACCGACAAATTTGACTGTGAAAGATAATATCGAACTGAGACCTGATACAGTTTCCCACACCCCTCCTCTTGACCTGAGTCATGAGTTCATGTTCAATTTTGACAAGTTCAGTAAAGAAACAACTCCGTTTTTAGATCCAACATTATGCAAAGAGTGCTTGGTCGCAGAGCACAGGATTTTGGGCTTTCCAATGCTCAACCCCGCCAAGACAGATTATGCCATCAAGCAAGGCGTAATTTCAATTGACATCGCTAATAACTTGATGCTTAAAAAACAGCTAAAAGGCATTCCTTCAGTCACTACTATACTGAACTCTACCATGGGTGATGCTTCCAAAGCAGCATTGGCCAAGTGGAGGACTACGATGATCAACCAACTCGGTGAAGTCGGGTTCAAAGATTTCTACAAAGGTAAACTCAAACTGGTTTTCTACATCTCTTAAATAAAACTCCAACTGTAAAATTCTTGAAAATATTAAAATTCTTCAAAGAATAATATGCCTCGCCTGAAATTTTTTTATATCAATTTTTATTGTTTCTAAATTTATATTTGGTATGCAATACAATTTATGTTAGAGGTCAAATGTGTGAACAAATTGAGCATGAATAAAACTACTTGCAGCTAGTATCCAATCCAACAATCAATACTAAGTTAAACTCGCTGTACTTTAATTATGTATTTTTTTCTCAAATTTTATTATTATTACCTTTTATTTTTTAAAGAAAAAGGTTGCTTAAAAATGTTGCTTTTTTAGAACAGTTAAAGAAAGGTAGTGATTTTCATGGAAGCGTACACCGATATCTTAAGACGCTTGCTACCGGCAAAGCTGAGGAAACATCCTCTTTAACGTTCAAAAGTGTGAGAGATGTACTTAATAACATTTCGGACGTGAGCGTCCTTGAAAGTCAAGTGATTCACTCTCAACTCGGCTACAGAGGAGTCGTAGATTGCATCGCCAGATACAAGTACTCATGTTTTACTCATTCCTTTGATGTATTTTACTTTTTTTTCTTTTTTTCAGAGGCATCCCCGTTGTAATCGAGTGGAAACGATCCGACAAGCCTAAGCCCACAGTCAGACACACTTTCGACGCTCCTCTCCAGCTCAGTGCCTACATCGGTGCTCTCAATTATGACAAAATGTATGATATTCAGGTGCAAGGGGCCATGGTCGTGGTGGCTTACAGCGATGGCACCAAAGCAGACGTTTTCAACGTAAATCTTGAAGAATGCAAAGAATACTGGAAACAGTGGCTTGGCCGTTTTAAAAGTTACATACTTGCTAACCAAAGATTCCTCAGCCCAATTTCATAATTTTGTTCTCAAGTCTTTAAGAAAAAATAAACACTAGTTTCTCATGATATTCCATTTTATCAAAACAGAAATGCCTTTTATAATTTCCTATTTTAAGATTTTATAATTAGGTTTTATCTTTCTAAATGATTTTTTTTTGTATGTAATGTTATTGCTGTTAAATGCTTTGGTTTAAGGTTTCTAATTCAAAAATAAAAAGTCGAACTTTGGGATCCTCCTTCACGGAGCTCACTCACGGCCATCTCTGGCATGATGCCCACTGGAGCGATGCGACAGTGATGCAACATGAAGCGATCTTTCATTGCCCGATATGACTTTTATCGGTGCGACATGCAGGGGCTGCAGTAGCCGAGTGGTTAAGGTGTCAGACACTCGGCTAGTAGATCCCACGGTCGTGGGTTCCATCCCCACCATCGCCTCAAAATTGACACGGTGCTCATCAACGGAAGGAGCGGGATCAGATCTCAGCAACCCTCAATTTGGTCCCAACCCCCTTCAAAAATGAGTTTCTTCGATGGAAGAACACTGGGGGCTCAAATTCACACTTGTGTTGCGAGCCCCCCAAAAATGGAGCCAGGGATAAAGTACAATAAGCTAAAGAAAAAAAAAAGAAAAAATAAAAAAGCTGCAATTCAAAGAAAACTAACCTATTTCTGAAAATATAAAATAAATAATAAAAGAAATTGACACAAGTATAATGGTGTTACAAATGTAATGGAAAAATTCAGTAATTTCATGGTCCGCTTGACCAATTAATTAAGGTTTTTAGTTGAGATAAAAAGTCAATGGCACGAGTGGGATTCGAACCCACGATCTCTGACTTGAGCTATCATGACCTCGATCCACTCGGACACCAACTTCCCATTGAAAAATGGCAAAAAGGAGGGAAAATTCAAAAGGTGCACTTGAGATGGGAAGTTGGTGTCTGAGAGGATCGAGGTCACGATAGCTCAAGTGGTATAGCAGCAGCTATCAAGCCGAAGATCGTGGGTTCGAATCCCGCTCGTGCCATTGACTTTTTTATCTCAACTAAAAACCTTAATTAGTTATAGTAATGGAAAGGATCTGGGTCTTTTCGGTCAAGGGATCTTGAGGTAAATGGGTTCTCCAAGTTGCCGGGTTGGGGAAGGATGTGGATGGTAGCACTTCATGCACATACAAATGAATAATTTGTGTAGGTAACGATGCAATTATCAAACAGTAAAGGCAACCCAACCCGAGGTATACTTTTTAGGCCCTGCATCCGAGCCTCGCCCTAACCGCGTACCATCCTAACCTACACTCTGTTAAGGCAACAAATAACCCTCATATTGGATGATGGCCTTAAAACAATTTAAACTATTTAAACTTACATTTAGTGCGTAAAGAGTATATAAAAAGAAAAAGAAAGAAAGGAAAAACAAGGCTATAACACATTTCCTCTTTTATTACTGTTGGGAGTAGAAAAGACATGTGGCAACAGTGAAGACTATTACACAAAGATCACAGCAATAAATATACAAAACCATAATACATATCACTAGCTATACCCAAGAATGTCTTGTTTACTTTATTTATACTGTAATTTTATATTTATATGTACATTTGTAAGACACTTATTTTTCTCTGAACTATGTAATTGCTTATAGATTTTTCTATTTATATACTTTCATCTTTAACAGATCATTTATACATTTAGTATCATTTTTTATTTATAGAAACAATTGAGGAATATTACAAATTTATAACAATATATATATATATATATATATATGTATATATATTTCATTATTATTATTAAAAATACAAGACAAACTCAATTCTCTGTAAATACAGAGTGCAAACACGATATTTTCTACTATATTTATATCAAATCTTACCAGTATATATTTCTTATGCAACCTATTGCTTGCTATTTTGTTTGGTTTAAAGTAAAGCTTGAGTTTTTATTACACAGAATATTTTATCACACGAATTTGATTAGAATTTTAATTCATCCAAGTAGTAAGTACTAAGAAAAAATAAATCTCTCGCATAGCCTCGTATAAAAGAAAGCAAGAGTGAATCCTTTTCTTTTTTCAAGTCAAATGATTATTTCTCGCTGAAATACAACAATTCAAGAGTTCGGTTTTTTCTGGCCAATTGGCTTTTAAAGTTTTCATTTCCTAGGATTTAGTTTTGATAGTTTCTTTATATGTTGAATAACTGTATTTTTTTTGTACATTTATTCCATCTATTTAAAATCTTAAAACTCAAAGGTGTATCCAGCAACATAATTTACTCAAATGCATTTTTCTCTTCGATTGAAAGGTTATTCTCACCAGGCTGTATAAACCGCTCAAAATTTCAAGGGGGTTAAACTGGTAAATATTAAAATTTCAGTCTTGGTCTTGTCTTGGTTCTCATTGTCAGCCAGAAACCCATAAAATCTGAAAATTGTTTAAGGGCCTGTTTTTATTGGAAAGAAAAGAATTTAATATCGTATGTACGTGTCCCATTTATTTTGTATAAAAACATCTATAAATAAATCAAATTCATGTGATTTTAAAGCTTGTCTTTAAGTTATAAGTAGCTGAAAATGTTCCAAACATAAATTCTTACTTATTCTAGTTTTTATAAATGTTCAACATCCAATCCCTTAAATCTTATCTATAGTTAACTTTCTCCTCAATTCTACAGTCAAATAGTTTATCCGAGAAATTGTTATAGGTTTTTTTTTTTTTTTTTCAAATGGAGACTTTGTTTAATTGTACAAAAATAGCAAACTTTTAAGTTGATGGCACGAAAATAATTTGGCATAATAGTGCATTATTTATTTTTGCACTGTTTAGTTTAAAAAACAGAAATCCAAGATTTTACCTGACAGTGTTATTTAATTTTTTTTTTTTTTAATTCCCCTTTCTATTATTTGAGCATTTGAAGTTATTTCCAATAGATATGCTAAAATTGCCATATCAGTCTCTCTATTGTGGAAATGTTTTTTTTTTAAATATTTTCAATTTTTTTCAGGTTTGACTAACAAATTTACACCCAATTTCTGTATTGACGATAAACAAACAAAACAAATATTTATATAATGTGTACATCAATTAATTAATTAAGCTTTGGTGTACACCAACTTGGTAAATTACCCTTAAAAATAATCATCTCCAATTAATTATACATTTGAACAAAGAATTAAAGCTATACATATTAACATGGCAGTACAAACATATATAATTTCCAGCTTAAGGGTAAATTCAATCGAGCTAATACTTTTTCAATAATTTTGAAAGTTAAAAAATAAATATATTCAGTGGTGTTTCTTTCATTAATTCCTAAGAATAATTTCACATTTGTTGTAGTTTTTCTCTTTGGAAAATCCTCAAATCAAAACTCAAATTTTGTTAACACTTAATGATTTTAAAAGGGCGTACAACACAGTTTAGACAATATTGATGGAGTTTTCAAGTGTGTAATTGTATAATTTATGTTGCTCACAATTTCCTTTTTTTTTTTTTTTTAAATAAAACCAAGTCTCAATTTGTTGCAAATTTTGCGGTTAGGTTGCCCAAGAAAATAGAACTGGAAGAGTTCCTGTCGTGTTTAAAATAACAATTACAATTTATCCATTAGTTCACTTGTCTAATTGATAAAATACCATTTAAAATTCAACAAGGTGAAAAATTAAATTTATTATTTCAAAATTGGAGGTAATGTTGTCAAAATTAATCTCGGTAGTCTAATGGTCTACCATGAAGATATTTTTAAATAATTAAATGTAAAGTTAGTACTGGAAGTACAACTATTAATAAACTATGAAATGACAGTTCTATTTCACCCTAAACTAAAAATATTAAATAGATTTTAAAATAAACAATCTTAGATGTTTTCATGTCAGTCAAAGTGATTAAACCGGAAAACATGATTTTTTTCCATTACATATTTTTATTATTGAAAACTTGAATTGTGATTTTTTAAACTGGATGTTTTTATTTTCAGATAAACGATACTAAAATTTGTAAAAAGAAACACAGCAAAGCGATTAAACTTTTAAAGTAATTATAAGTTACACTTTCAAAATCTGCCATTTCTATCTTATTATACGTAACAATTGACATATATAGGTTTTTTTGTTGCCTAACACACACCCACACAAGCCTTGTGGTACAATAGAAAAGTAACAGTGAGCAACATTAAATATGAAACTTGCTCAAAATCTTAACAACAAATAATTGTACAAACATCTTTTTTTTTCTTTCTTTAAATATAAAATCCTATTAAAGCTAGCTTTGTTTTTGTGTTGTACACCTTTTTTTTATTTTTTAATTATTTTTATCCAAATATAAATGGAGATTAACAGTATATCTTTATACTTTTTATACATTTAATATCTTGATAGTATAGGCACACCCATTTTGAAATTAGAACACTTAACAATTATCTATATTAAACATTTTGGCATACTTACTCCCACTTTTTCAAAGTGACATCATTTATACATATAAAACACTGGTTGCAGCCGATTATAAATTATGTAATGTCCAGGACAATTAATTGTTTGAGATAAACACGTTCAAGTTTACACAATTTGGCTACGCCTCCCCTGGTTTTGATATATACTCTAATGGTCATAAAGTTATTTACAATTTTCTTTCTTTATGTTGTAATTTTTATAAAGAACATTTATTAAAAAATAGTCTCTATTGTCATATAACTCGAATGAAAAATGAAACTTCATATAGACAAATTTCCATTTTCTCTTAGATCTTAATAAATTAAACGTTTCGGAAAGTTTTGTTCGTTTCCACAGGTAAAACAAAATACGCCAAATCTGCGATCAGTGTTAGTCAGCTAATTGATTTTAACAATCTTAAAAATAAGTAAATGCTTCTCAAGTAGGAAAGAACACATTTTTTTGGTGTGAATTTTGGTTTTTTTTTTGATGAATTAAAATTCATAATCAAAGGAATCCCACTCACTGAACCTTGAATCCTGTTTCTGCAGCCGTCTCTGGCACGCCTCCAAATCGCATTCTTGTATCCGATACATGCCAGAGTTCGCTTGAAACATCAACGTCTCCAGAATCCTTTCGTTTTTTATTGCTTTGCTTGGCAGGACGATCTGTAAAGTCAGAAAGCGATTTACTTGGTTTACTTCAAAACAGTAGACACGCTTTGTATAGTTTTTGTAAATATTTTAAAAAATCCCAATTTTTTATAATTTATTTTATTATAATAATGTGGGATAATTTATTACATTACTAGAGAACAACAAGTTTTAGCAAATTAATGTTTTGAAGAATTTTTTGTTATTATTAACTTCACTAATTTCGTGGTCCGCTTAACCAATTAATACTTTACAATTAATTAAGGTTTTTAGTTGAGATGGAAAAAAGTTAATGGCATGAGAGGGATTCGAACCCACGACCTTCGGCTAGATACACCGCTGCTCTACCACCTGAGCTATCGTGACCTCAATCCACTCGGACATCAACACCCCAATCTCAACCCCACCTTATGAGTTTTCCCTCCTTTTGCCATTTTTCAAATGTCGTGTAATCGGTTTGGATTCTCGACGACAATTGAAATGGCGACGGAGAGCTTTAGTGAAGTGTACTTCATTTTAATAGAGGTCACGATAGCTCAGGTGGTAGAGCAGCGGCGTATCTAGCCGAAGGTCGTGGGTTCGAATCCCTCTTGTGCCATTAACTTTTTTTCATCTCAACTAAAAACCTTAATTAATTGTACAGTTATTATTAACCCAAATCAAGGTCATTATTACTTAATTGGCTATTGTTATTATATTATGGATTTGATAAAATAAATTTATAAAACGTATTTTTTCAAGTAAGACAATGAAATTTTCTTTGCAAAATAATTTTGTTTGTTAAAGAAAGGCAATATTTAAAGTTATCGCTTGCCTTGATGAGCTCATGCGGTGTTATTCTGTACAGCTTTAAGTCTCGTGCTAGTCTCTCCATGATGCACTTAAATTCCACTTTTGCATCGATTTTGCTCGACGTTTTAGTTTTGATCTTGTGCCTCGCCCAGCTGAGCATCGCTTCGAACTTTTTCACCTCGGGTATCTCGAGGTTCCTGCACATGATCATCTGTACCATCGATTCCGAGAGTGTCAAGAATTCTGGAGTCGGGAAGAGCTGGAAAGTTTTAAAAAAAATTACCAAGACTATCCTCCAAATTTTTATTTCCTTCAAATACCTGATGGGCCCTGGTTTCGACGAACGCTAATATCATGTTAACGAGTTCAGAAGCCGAGGTGTACCTCCAATAATAATTTTCCAAAGAGCACAACATGATGCACACCTTTAAAAACAGTTTGTCTTAGATCCAAAAGAAAACGATAATAATTTAAACTGGTTTTGTGCAAAATAACTACCACATCGATCCTTAAAAACTGTTTAGCATGATGGAAACACGCTTGTAGGAGTTCGGGCAAATCATAATGCTCTGCTGCACATATCAACCCGGGTATGTTGGAACATGTTAAGGGGCAAGCACTTGTGTGTAAATAATCCAACAATATTCTAAAAGTATCGGCATCAAATTCTATTATCGAAAACTAAAAAAAAAAAAACACAAGAAAATAAAATGTAAATTAAACCGTTTTTCTGGTTAAGAAAGTAGTAAAAGAGAAATTACTTCAATTTGTGCTAATTTGGCCCTGTCGACCTTTTGAACATCTGCGCAAACACTAAGCCTTGGAACTGCAAGCTGGGACGGAGTCTGTTTATCCTTGTCTTTCTCTTTGCCTTCCTTGTCTGGAACCGAGCGCAATGCTTAATTTATTAACACGACTCACCGGTCGGAGGGAAGAGAAAATCGGAATGTCTTACTCGAACAGTCTTGCGAAGATGCCCATTTCTTTTTATCATCTGCAGAAAGGTGGGAGTGTTGTTTCCTTATCGACCTGCCCCATCCAGCTGTCAGCGTACCTAATCTTGAAAACGCTCTTTTCACCATAGGCGAACTAGGTACACTTTTTGGTCTGTAATTGAAACAGTACAATTTTCAGACAATGAATGGCGTATATTACATTAAAATTATATGATAAATATAATAAATGATAAATAGTAATAGGTCTTATGAAGCAATGATGTATTTATTTATTTATTTAAGGTTCCAATTATGTTTAAAGTCACAATGTACTTCATTTTAAGCAATGTGCATTATTATGTTTGGATGAAAAAAAAACCACATTTAATTTATTAATAATAATAGTGGTTGTGACAAATAAAATAAGGATAAATTATTTTAGAATAAATTATTTCATTAATAAAAATGATTTTTTTGTAGTTATATATAAAATAAAATTACAATTAATTAAGGTTTTTAGTTGAGATGAAAAAAGTTAATGGCACGAGTGGGATTCGAAGCCACAATCTTCGGCTAGATACGCCGCTGCTCTACCACTTGAGCTATCGTGACCTTGATCCACTCAGACATCAACTTCCTATCTCAACCCCACCTTTCGAGTTTTCCCTCCTTTTTGCCATTTTTCACACTGCCAACTTTTTTTCATCTCAACTAAAAACCTTAATTAATTGTAATGATTTAATTGGTCAAGTGGACCACGAAATTAGTGAATTTAAAGAATTAATATGAAGTACACTTCACTAAAGCTCTCCGTGGCCATTTCAATTGTCGTCGAGAATCCAAACCGATTACACGACATTTGAAAAATGGCAAAAAGGAGGGAAAACTCATGAGGTGGGGTTGAGATAGGAAGTTGGTGTCCGAGTGGATCGAGGTCACGATAGCTCAAGCGGTAGAGCAGCGGCGTATCTAGCCGAAGATCGTGGGTTCGAATCCCGCTCGTGCCATTAACTTTTTTCATCTCAACTAAAAGCCTTAATTAATTGTAATGATTCAATTGGTCAAGCGGACCACGAAATTAGTAAATTTAAAGAATAAATTAGAGTTGTCTGTAAAAAAATTATAATTATTAATTAAGGTTTTCAGTTGAGATAAAAAAGTCAATGGCACGAGCGGGATTCGAACGAATTTTTATCTCAACTGAAAACCTTAATTAATTGTAAGATTTAATTGGTCAAGCGGACCACGAAACTAGTGAATCATAATTATTGATTAACAAATGTATATTTTATATTTTAACTGTTTATTTGTAGTAGTACCTTGGTGTTTCGATATCAGGCACTTGAAGAAAGTTTGAACTTTTTGGTTTTTGAGGGCTGGGAAGTGAAGGAACAGCTCTTGCTAACAGTTCTGCGACAGGGACTTGCGGAGAGCCGAATCCAGTTGATATTCCATAAAGCATCTCTTGGAAAACTCTGCTACGAACACCGAGGATCGCCCTTACGCCTATCAATTTGCTCTGTTTCTGTTTGTTCTGTCCGACCAGAAAAACTACGTCGAAAAGATTCGCATTGGTCGTCACATTCGGTTCCGAGTTTAAAAACACTTTTGTAAAATCTTTGGCGAGTTGGTCGTAATCTTCAAATCTGTCGCGGACAGAGTCTAATAAAGGGCTGGACGGCCTCATATGCCCTATCGGCCTCCAGGAGCCTCTCCGGTACGGCTTCGGTATCTGGCCGGTTTCGGCGTGGTTGGCCAAGTTTGCGACAATGTCCTCGAGCATTTGACTTCTCGTCCTTTCCTGCATCCTGGCAAATTTGGGTGCCGAATAGCTCGCCCTCTCTCCGTTGACTATTTTCGTGAGCAGCCATTCCCTAAACATGGGACCCTTGTCAAATACGCTCTGCTCCCATAAATAGGGTTTGTAGGCACCGACTTCGTCTCTTGTAACCACTGACACCTGATAAATAAAATGTACCCATTATAAATTTTGACATTTTTATTTAGACATTTAGCAAACACTTACTTCGTATCTTGTCGGTTTCCGCTTTATTTTAGGTGAAGTCCTGACTAAAATAAACGTATGTAAAAAATGTGATTTGATGCAGGCAGGTGAAAACGAAGTGTTATCCGCCTCAAGGAACACAACGCACACTATGTCATTTCCTATATGCCTTTTCCTTTGGAGCTGTGAAAACGCCAATATAAATTCCTGAGAATTCGCTCAATTATTCAAGAGAATGATCTGTAACCTTTTGTGGATCATGCTTCTCATAAGGAAGAAGTGTAGACACATGAAACATGATCTCGATACTCCTCCAGTTGATGTAAATCGAATAGAGACCGGTTAAATCATGGACAGTATCCAAACCTCCTTTATATTTGTCAAAACCTGAAATTTTGTGAAAATTTTATATTTATCTTAATTTTTTTACTACATACACAATACATATTTATATTCTGAAGAATTCCATGTATGTAATCATATTCATGTAAACATCAATTTGTTCTATCTAACAATTGGGTAAAAGTGAATACATAATAAGAGCAGAATATTTCCAAGTATTCCATAAATGGTTCAAACAACAAAAACTATAATAATTTTGGAGTTGTAATTGAAAAAGTTATCAGTGTATGATAAAAAAAAATAAAAAATGTGCTGTTGGTCGAGTGAGATTGGATGATGATCATAAGTAAAACAGGTGACATACACTCTGGGGGTTCTGCATACACTCAGTAATAATAACAAAAATGGGGGTTAAAAACAAATGGGAAAATTATATTTTTAAATAATTTAGTTATTTATTTAAATATAGGCCTTTTTATTTAATTTGATGTATTTTGAAGTTTTTTAACCGCTTTATACATACAAGAGAAAATAATATTTAAGAAAGTAACAAAACGTCTGCAAAAAAAGTCTGCATATGTGGGAAATAATAACAAAAAACTTAATTTATAACAAAACAAATCTAATTGCCTGAAGGATCTCCTTTATCTTTTTTATAATTTCTTTTAAACAATTGCTAATGCTGTAACCTATTTATTGTGGTAAAGCTAGGATCTGATATTCACCACTCTTCCATAAAGGCCTCAGAAAGATGGTGTTTATGTTTTACACGTTTTACCCTCCTGTTACATCCTACTCTATTGGGTTTAAATCAGGGATATATACATTAAAAAAAAAAAATAACCTAGCGATAATTAGTGGTTAATAAGGTTAGGATAATAATGATGTTACAATAGAAAACTATATCTGAATATTACATTTTGCACTTTTCCTCACGTCTCTTCCAATTATTTTTAACAGCCTAAAAAAATAACCAGATCTGCAAAGATGTTGCTTGCATTTTATTATTCCAATGTTATAAAATGGGGGCCACGGTAGCTGAGTGGTTAGCGTGAGAGACTCTCGGCTCGTAGATCCCACAGTCGTGGGTTCGATTCCCACCATCGCCTCTGGCCTTTTTTTTCACGCTACCCTTCCCCCCCACCAAACGAATACACATAATAACATTGTCATTGGCTAATATGCTCAGAACATAAAGCCATTAAATTAAAAAACAAAACAAAATGTTATAAATACGAAAATTGAAATGAAAAAAGTCCGTTTGATCATTTCTGATCATTATGGTCGCATCCCCTTGTTAATTAATTAATTTTTTTACGAGGGTTTGCAACAGCAGAGGTCATATAAACCCTTAGGGTGCCGGTGTTTTTGAAAAAAAAAAAAGCCCATTTGTAAGTATGTTGGGTTCAAATGCAGGGCCACTGGTCGCTGGATTCGAACCCGGGACCTTCACCTTACAGTGATGAGCACCGTGTCAACACCTAAACCGTTGCGGCCACCGACGCCCCTGTAGGGAATTTAATTGTTGTGGAAAGTTGTGTAGCAACCATTTGTTGGCACTTCTGGCACGATGTTTAGGATCTAAACTATTTAATGCTACTAGCATAGAACGCCAAAACATGATCCTTCCTTGTGTTTAAATGTGGGGTATAAGCTCTTCAATTTCATGGACTTGTTTTTACTCCATTACACTCAAACATTGCCAATAACCACTAAAAAAAATTGAATTTACATTGATCAGTGAAAATAGCTTAGTCCCAAATGCTAGAAGGCTGATCAAGGTAGTTTTTCTGTAAATGCCAATGGCTTTGCTCGGTTTACATAGCTAATAAGGCATATTGCGATGTGAGATTATCATTTTTTAATGTATTACGTATGTTTTGAGGTATTGTGTCAACATTGAATCCTATAATAAATTAGAACTATCGAAGGAGCATTTGCTTTTGGATTCCACGAATAATCTGGATCTTGGTTATCTGGATGAAGAAACTAATTCAATTTTTACTGCAAGCTTTTGACCTATTTTATGATGATCATACAAAACAATCTTAAATATGACTATACATTGACAATAGTATATGGTTTCAAATTTCTTTGAAGACCAAGACAGTTCCAATATTGTCAAGGACATGAAAAGTTCATAGGATGGCATTCTCATGATGCACTCATATGCTGAAGGTTTTTTTTTGGCTGTCCCATTGAGTTATAATTTCTAAAGATTTGTATAAAGATTTACTCAAAGCTTTGTGGTCAACAATGAACTGGCGCTTCACCTTTTATATTAAAGTATAAAGCAGTACTAATCAAATTTGGAAGTATGAAATCACATAAAACCATTTTTGTTTACATTCAGAGGGTTAAAACAAAGTGTATGTAGACTTATTAAACATAACAAACAAGAAGAAGATGCTTATTGTACAACAGTATGCTCCTAATCGATTCCAATAATTGTTGTTATTCTTAAAACTTTTTCAATGGCTCCAGTCAGGCTTTTGAGTGAGTGCGACATTGTCAAGGTCATAACATTATTAGAGGAAGGTACAGCCAATTTCAAAGTCACCAGGTGACTGAGTGTAAATAATTCTACAATAAGAAGGGTTCGTCGGTGATTCAGACCAGTTCAGGTAGAACAGTGCTTAATACTAGAAGGCAGGATAGGGTCGGACTAGGTCTATGGATGAGAGAGATGATAGATTCATCCATCATCAGACTCTATGAAACAGCAGTGTTACGGGAAATGAGATAATTAATCTGATAAGACAAGTCCGAAATGTTTGGCTTTATTCCAATACTGTAAGAAGAAGGCTCAATGAAACTAACCTCAGGGCCTGGTGGTTCAGCTTGTGAACCTCTTCTTACCATAGCTCAGAAATTAGCCAGGATTCAATTTGGACGGGAAGATGTGAATTGGACATTGGGGACGAGTTCTTTTTTTTTTTTTTTTTTTTTACTGATAAGGTGAGAGTTGGCCTCAAATCTTCAGATGGGCTTGATTTCATATAGAGTTGCCCAGGGGAAAGGTACACCTCATGTATGGTTCCTCAGGTGGCATTCCACGGCGGGTCATTGATATTCTGACGTGGCATTTCCTTGGATGCCCGCACCGAATTGGTTGTTGTACGAGGAAAAAGAACTTTACAGAGGTACTTACAAGACAAAATTGAAGAATATGACGTGCCATTAGCCCCCACATCACTGAGAGATTCTTCTTATTCCAGAACCTACATGAATGAGGTTGGAATTGAGATCTTGGTGTGGCCAACTCAAAGTCTAGATTTTAACCCATTTGAACACATTTGGGACCAACTTAAGCAATGAGTACGATGGCAAAACCCAGGTCCTAACACCCTACAAGAATTGGAAACTGCCGTTCTTGATGAATGGAAAAGAATTCCTCAGGATTTTATCAGAAATCTTTTATTTATTTTTGAATTATCTGCTTTTATTTCTTTACTCAATAATTTTTTTTTTAGAATTAGATAAACATTTTTTAAAATATCTTATTTTGACAACCCAACCTATTTTTGGTATGGAAAATATGAATAAACCTAAATACATTAAAATTTAATGGTGGTGCATTTAATTTGTCCAGCAGTGTATCATGGTTATTTGTGGTTCTTGCATAAAATATTATTTTATTAATTAAGTAAGCTAAGCGGAACTTACCTTTTAACCTAACCTGTTCCCCTAATATTTGTAAAAATTCTTGAAATAATGGGCTGTTTTCATTATTGTCTAGTATTTCCTCTTCAGTATACTGTCCCTCTTTAACATAAATGACACCGACTTTTAATTCTGATTTTATGAATACCTGCAGAAAGGATTTTGTTAGTCTGAGCATAGATTTATCATTTCGACTCATTTACTTGGTCTAGTTTGAGAAGCTCTTCTGGAGTGTCCGGAAGCTGGCCGAGAGTCAGAGGAGGGTTCAGGTTGACTTCCTTACCGAGGGACCTCACCACCTCTTCTCTGTTATACCGGTCTGCAAATACGCACGATGCCGGTATCAGGCCATGCGCAGTGTAGCTTATCGCCCGGACGAGGATCCTGGACAAAATTCAATTTTATTACTGATCTGACACAAATTTGTAATTGTAATTTGTAATATACCTGAATTGGTCCCTCCCGTTGAGCATTTCCTGCTTGATACTCAGAATAACCGGACCGAGATCTTCGTCGTTTGTAAAGTAATTCCAGTGCTCTTGGCTGTAGAAATATTTCTCATATGTTTCTTGCTCGACTGAAGTCAGCTCGAAACATTGGTTCTTCTCCCACTGTTCTTCAATAACACTCTTTTTCCTAAAATTGAATTTTTTTATATGGAACTTTAATGCATTGTCAAGCAAACGGATGATTAAGAGAGATTAAGGTGATTGTAATACAAACTTTTAATTAATTAAGGTTTTAACTTGAGATAAAAAAGTCAGTCACTCACTCACATTCGAGTACTTCAAGTGGTAGAGTAGCGGCGTATCAAGCCGAAGGTCGTGGGTTTGAATCCGGCTCGTGACGCTGACTTTTTTTATCTCAACTTAAAACCTTAATTAATTGAATGATATTAATTGGACAAGTGGACCACAAAAAATAGTGAATTTAACAAACTTTTAAGTTAATTTAGTAAAATATTAGGAAATAAAGGTTTTACTCGATATTACCTTGGTTCTTCCTCGTCATCTTCTAATAGAAGGTCATTGCGATTGTGGCGATAATCATCTCCACCTTCTGCACCTTCTGTGTCTCCTCCATCGCCTCCTTCTTCATCCCTTTCTGATTCGCTTTCGTCCCAGATTGTGTCAGAAGCGATTTTTTGTCTTGAACACTCAATCCAGTAGCCAGGCGTGGGTATCAGATTATGAGGGAATTCTTCACAGATTTCATCTAGAACAATTCAAATATGTAAATCCACAATCTAACTGGGGAAAATTAAATTTACATTTTCACTTTGTTTTGCATTACAGTAACAATTATAAATCTTAATATCTTAAATATTGGTGTAAAAAGTATTGCACTTAGAATGATTAGAAGAGCAGGAAGCTGCAACAGCCCACTCACTGTAAGGTAGAACACCAAGCGAAGCAAAAGCTCATGGCTTGGTGTTCGAGCTTAGAGTGAATCGACTATAGCAAAGACTGTCGGATGCCATCTTCTTCTTTCTTCATCCCCACATCAGCAGCACAGATTGTTCTTCAAAAATTTGCTGTACAATGCTTTTGAAAAACATTCATTTCGGATTTCGATACCGTACCTGAGCAAGCCTGTGGCGGCAGGGGGAATATCAGTGTTGTTGAGCTCTTCCTCCTGGCCACTGCACAACCTAGCGATTGCGGCTTGAAACTGCGCAGCTGTTGCATGAAATCCGAACACTCCATAAGGGCGACATCTGCAAAGTGGAGGTCACACAGAATCTGGTTCTTGAAACGCCTTGCTCTCTTCTGGTTCACGCCCGTCAAGTTGAGACCACACGAGTTGCATCTGAGGCATTCTTCGTGGTAGTGGTTATTGTCATATAAAGGCGATGGCTCTGTAACGCAGAAGCCAGTGTTGGTCGTCTCACATCATTTAAATATATTAATTTTTAAAATAATTGTTATGATGAAATGAAGAAAAAAGAAGCTTTATTGTGATCATCTATGCTACTCACTGGTGTAGAACTATAAAAAGAAAAGCAGAACATGCTAATCATGTATGACATGAAATATGAACTTTACAGTTTTGTCTAGGGTAAGGCAAAGAAAGCTTATGCAGCAGCCATAATCATTTAAGTCAAGCCAGTAAAAGAATCTTATGTCAAGCAGCAATCCGTACAAGGGCCCAAACTACAAACAGGAAATGTCAAACAATTTTACCAGTCTTTTTAATTATTATTTTAAATTATCGATTCAGTTATTGATAAAGGAATTAAGTTAAAAGTGCTTGTCGACACATGCAAATATGGTGGAAGTTCAGCTTAAAATCAGTAAGCGTAAGTGAAGCAAGTTATTATATTATTCTATTTTGGAATTGTTTTATCAAGCGATTGAAAGAAAACAAGGTCAGGGCAATGTTAGAATATGTAAAATGACTACTGTAGAATTACTATTCTCCTGTTTAATTTTTTCTCGATACTAACAATTTTTGATAATTAAAAGAAGGTTAAAAGCGAGCTTTCTGTCTAAAGCGCATGACTTTCTAATAAATATATAGTCTAATGAGTAAATCAAAAGGTAAAAAACTTACGGGATATTTCGCCTTTTGCAATTTCAACGGAAGAAGTTGAGAAGAGTTCAATTTCTTCTGCTGAAAAAAGGCAAAAATGGAAATATTCAGTAAGCTTTCCTTCATTGCACTAATTTCACTCGTTTGTCTGTGAGTTACTACTAAGCAATGTTCGAGAATGTTTGCCTAAACGTGTATTTGTACATAGTCGAGTTTTTACAACGATAGATCAATATATCGAAATTGACAATTTTATGCCTGGTGGCATTGTCACCATGATGTTTTATGTCATAAATATGCAGAAATTAAATTTGCGATATTCAATGAGGCAAAACATTTATAACCATGTTACATGAAACAAAACAATTTATCATGTTAGATTGGGATTTAAATAAAAATGTAAAAAAACTTTAAAAACTTTTATTTTTTATTGAAAACAACTGTTTAAATTTCTGTTTTGTGCAAATTTACAATTGTCCATATTGATATTATTTGTTAACTGGGTGTAAATAGTAAACATAAACTATTTTTATTAATGAAATACAGATTCTTGCAAAAATTAAAATTTTGAGTCTTGTCGAAAACAACCTTGACAAAAAAACTGCCCATTTATAATCTTGTAAAACCCAAGAAAAAAATTCTTGAAATGACAACAAATGAACTGACTGCTTTCTCGTTCGAATTATGAGCCAATTATGAAAGGACAATCTCATACTAAGTACAAAAATCATATCAACGTTTGCCTAGTTTTTAGTTCACCTGTTGATCACCTTCAACATAACAAGAATAAACTGTAAGACTAGCAATTGACATAAATATCAACACGTTTTAACTTTTTGGATGACGGTGAGTCCCCAGTTCTCAAAATGCGAGACTTTTCTTCAAAATTACATATTTATAAGAAGGAAATAAGGAAGGGGACTTTTCGTATTGTACGAAACGGACTACGTCTAATTCCCGTTAAGGTTAAAATGAAAATTGGGTCTGAAGTTTAAGAAAGCTTAAGTTTTGCGATGTAGGAAGTCCTATTATGCTAAACCCGCATCGCTCGACTTCTCGGAAGGTTTAGCGTCGAGGCTCGCCGTGTTTACGCCACACGCGTCTGCGGATCCGCGTTTTTCATGGCACACAATAATAAATTTTCCGTCTCGGAAAAACGTAACACGGATCAGTCTACACCACGACCGCTCTTGGGCCATCACTAAACAAATTTGGCTAAAAGGAGACTGATATGCTTGTATGGTGAGCGGTCGAGAACGGCGTCAGAATCAACAAGTTTTTACGGAATATTATGATAGTCTAGTCGTCTAGGAAGTGGTAGGGTCTTGTCTAAGTCGTGGCCTAGAACGGTGACACCTGTTTCGGGGGAGAGAAGGAAATCCGGATGGAACGTGCATTTGTCTCAAAAGGGAGAACGAACCCGTCGACGAGGCGAGCTGAATGAAGTCCAGGAGAGAGCCCAGTTTGGAAGTCCAGTAATCCAACTTTGCGCTTATATTGTAACACGATGGGAGAGCGGGGGCCCGTTGCGGGTCCGGGGCATCGTTTCCTCGGGGGCGAGTCTGCTCGGGGGGCGGTGGCCCATGTGTATGTGTATCAGCTGTGTTTTTGACTCCAGCGCCCCCGTCGCCGTGGCACAATCAATACCAAAGCAACACCTTGGGCCGCCCCCGGCCCCACTTGTTGATCCGCCGCGCCGGGGTGCCGCCGCACTTTTATCTTTCTCAATGGAGACCTTGGTGAATGGCGAACGATCGCCTCCTCCGCCCGATTCGCCGCCTTCCGCACAGCACGTTCACGGTCTTGTGACCTCCGGCATTATCGACTTTAAGTCTTGTACCCAAGGCGTGTGGCTTGACGAGCATACTTACAGCCTTTGATCTGCCGTATTACGACCCCAAACCTTTCTCATGGCAGAGGAAGGTTCGTGGCTTGATGAGCGTACTTACAGATTTTGATCTGTCGCGGTCTATCGTATTCCGACGCTAGCCGTTCCCTTGGCAGAGAAAGGCTCGTGGTTTGACTTATCTCGAGCGACCAAGAGTCACCCATTTCGTAAATTTTTTAAATGAAGTCAGTTTTGGTATAAAGATCAACGCTAGTACAGTGTCTATTATGACGTTGAAAAATGAATTCAGTTCAGAACAAACTGGAAAACTGCAACAAACCACAACAGATCTTGGGAACGGGTTCTATAGGCGTACTGAGGTGTACCGTGCCACGTCGAAACATCTCGAGCAATAACGAGTCTTTATGTTCCCACTGCATAAAGTTTGCCAATCTTCGGACCAGAACGAGGGAACAAGGCTTTACGCATTTCCTTTTTCAATCCGGGTCGTAGGACGTTTTACGAAGCCATTAGGGATGCCGCGGCAGTGATCCTCCACCATAAAACGTGTGCCGATGATCGATATAATAAACCTAAATCCCAGATAATGGTTCGTCCGAAAATCAAAGATTTTTTTCTTCTGAAGAACATCCGAAAGTATGAGCTGATACCCAATTATCGTAAATCTTCCAAGTATGGTTAACGAACGATAAACCCACGTAAAGAAATAACAGTTGAATAATACAATTTTTTAAATTTCGACGACGTAAAAAGTATTTTATTATATAAATAATATTAAAAATATTCCGTATTTATTTAGTGGCCGTAATTGACCATGTTAATTTTTCCAATTAAATATTCTTTTCATCTAAGGTTTTTGGTTGAGATGAAAAATTAGTGTCATGAGCGGGATTCGAACCCACGACCTTCGGCTCAATATGTTGCTGCCCTAACCACATGTATCGTGTCTTCGATCCCCTCCCTTCAACTCCCCATCTCAACCTCGAATTTTCCCACTTTTTGCCATATTTCAAATGTCGTGTAATCAGGATTCGATTCTCAGCGACTTATGAAGTGGCCACGGGGAGCTATTAGTGAAGTAATTACTTCTTTTAATTATTAAATTAATCTAAATTTGTTTAGTGTCCATAATTGACCATATTAATTATTCCAATTAATTATTCTTTTCATCTAAGGTTTTTGGTTGAGATGAAAATGCGTCGTCTTGGGTTCGAATCTCGCTCGTAGCACTAATTTAATCATGAACATCGTTGAGTATGGTTGTGACAAAAAAATTAGGTTTTTATAATATCATTATTGTAAGAGAGGAAAGTGGTTTTTTTTGCTCCAAAATCAAATTTTTATTTTCTCGCATCGATCAACTTCCTTTTCTTGTAAGGAGGTATGTAACCTGGTTATAAGATGGATAAATTTTTATTAATTAAAAATAACCAGTATACGTAGGAAATTGGTGAAAATCAACTATGAGTGTTATTTTTAAGAGTGTGTATTTAGTGCCGGGGATTAAGCGATAACGCGATCACTTGGACCGAGCCAGAGGTCGCCGAGGAGAACAGTGCGGTAAACACCTACGAGTTGGCAACTGATAGAGATTCTCCGGAAAACGGCTCGTCCGGATTTTTCTTCGTGGATATTTCCATTTTTGGAATTTCTACCGGTGCCTTCCTCACCAGACCACGGCGACGAGCGAGGACTGTGTGCGTCCGTTCGTGGTTTTCCGAAAGGATATACAGACGGCCCCGATTCTCCGGAGATTTTCTCTTTTTTTTTGGAGCGGATTTCGGCAGGACTGGAATAAATTAAATCATTTATATTTTTTATAGAAAATATTACACTACTTTCCTCTCATATATTGATCGATTTATTTGTTTATTTATTTATTTTTATCAAATTTAATTAGGGTACAAACAAGAATATACTTTTAGTTAAGGAGTTCCCCATTACTCTGGACGCATAAAATGGGGTGGCGCCCAACTCACCAATATTTCTTTGGTCTTTAATATTTCTTTTATTTATTTATTTATTTATTTTTTAATTTTGTAAATTGTCCCTCCAGTCTTACCCTCCCCCACTCCCGACGAGCTACCGGGGATAAACTTTGCTCTGACCCGAAATAATTTTGGGTGTAACATGGTATCGGACTTCGATGATACAATAAATAGTAAAAAAAACTGGGAGATCAGGGATGGTCTGGCTTCTTCCCTGATCTCCCAGTTTTTTCTAGTATTAAACATTCAATATATGAAAATTAATACTCCTGAGAAAGGTTTTTCTACAATAAAATAAATAGCAACATACATTACACAGGAGAAAAAAAATGAAAACAGATTAAACAATTGTTACAAAAAAAAATCATTTATATGTCAAAACAGAAATAAATGAAATCAAATAGTAAAGATCTTGATTTTTTTTTTTAATGAAGAATGAGCTTTCAAATCACTTTTTGTTCTTTTTGGTTGATAAACACAATCCATTAAAAGGTCAAAACCATTGTTTGACATATTTGGCTCGATTCAGTTATAATTCTATTTTTGCCAACCATTAACTTCAATATTAAAGAAAATAGTCCTTGTCACATCTCAGAATTTTTACAATTTTTACAATTTTTATTACAGTTGCAATAATCTAGCTTGGATCAATGAACGGCCGGACGGAGTCGCATTCTGTGGAGGCGGAGGGAAAGTCCGACGGGCTTGTAATCACGGCTAAAGAGCTGTGACTCGGGCCGACCCTTTGAACCGATTTCCTGCCAAACTATCCTACCATGTCAATTGATAATCGATCGCAAAGAACCAATTACTTACGACAACACGAATAAAACGGGAGATATAAAATACAGGCGATAATGACAATAAAGAAAGTACCCACCCGGCATACATAACACATACTTAATTGCATGTACATTTTTTTAAGTCGTTCGGTCGTCGTTGATGCTAAAATTGATAAACAGTGCAAGACCTACAAAGCGTATAGGGTTTTTCAAAGCTTTGTCCATGTTTATTAAACGGTGCTTTAGTATAAACGTCTTCACATTTCACGTGTCTTGGCGTTTACATTAATTTGTAAATAGCTTGCAAGGCAGTTTCATTTGAACTGAGGTTTCTTCTCTTCTGCTCGGGGGTGGTAAACATCATCGTTTCTGGGCATCGTGGTCCGCCTATTCTCGCCGTTTCGGCCTGACGGATTCGTACCTTTTATCATCTTTTATTTTCTTTATGAAAAGTTTTTTATG